CTAGCCTTTCTATCTGGCTGATTCTCTTTTGCTTCACCTTGGGGTGAATCCATCTTAAGCGAGACTTTAATGTTTCACGTTCAGGCTATGGAGACCAGAATGAAGAATGACTCTGTTTCTCAGAGATCTTGATTATTTATGGCTCCATCCATTGTTAATAGTCAAGACTGACTGCATGGCTTCCCCTCCTTGACTTGACAGCTGTGGCGGGGAGAGGACCTGATAAGCAGTTTATTTACTTAACTCATTTAACTGAATAAATGTTTTCATTTTTCTTTCATCTCTTCAAGGAGCTCATGATGCATTCTGAGATTGCCCCAGAAATGGATCCCTGTGACAGACATTCTTTGCTCCCCTGTCCTGGCCTTTGCTGTGTGAGTGTACGTCTTTTGGCCTGTTCTTTCCTTGAGTCTCACTCATACATGTTTCCCTACCTCAAACTCAGACTACAGAGAAGCATACAATAAAATAAGTCAGGTCTACAAACATTAATTAAGCACCTACTGTGTGCCAGGCACTATGTTAAGCACTGGGGATACAATAACTGAGTAGGTTTGGCTTGATTGTCCAGATGGAGACAGATGCTATGTGAAAGAGAACTGGATTTAGAGCCAGAGGATCTGGGTTCTAATCCTGCCTCTGTCACTATACGTGTGACATGGGATGAATCATTTACGTTTTCTGGACCTTAGGTTCTTTATTGATGAAATGGCAGGGGTGGGGGGAGGTATTGGGCAAAATGGCCTCTAAGTTCCCTTCCATCTCTAAATCTAAGATCTTAACCCCAAACATCTTCTGACAGGAAATCAGTGGAGATCTTCCTTGCCTCTTACCGGAGTGGACTGAATGTATCAACAAGGCTCAACCCTTCTTCCTAAGAGCCCTGCAGATATTACCAGGGGAATGTTGTTTGTGATAATAGTCGGACTTGTGATGGGAGTGTAGAGATGTCTCTCCTTTAAACTAAATAAGAGGGGAAGGGGAAAGAGACATAGAGGAACACTTATACACTGCTAACTCTGCTCACCCGCCTCCAAATAAATGTCTGAAATGGGATAGAGAAGCTAAATCAGCAGGGTGAAAAATCAACAAAAGTTTGGAAATATCAGGCGATTGAGGGCACTGAAGTCAAGAAGACCTAAGTTTAAATCCAGCCTCAGACACTTACTAGCTGGGTGACCCTGGGCAAGCCACTTCACCTGGTCTGCCTCAGTTTTCCTTATCTGTAACGAGAGCTGGAGAAGGAAATGGCACATCACTCCAGTATCTTTGCCAAGAAAACCCCAAAATGGGGTCACAAAGAGTTGGACATGACTGAAAAATAGCCAAACAACAAGTAACAATGAAGGCACTAAATGGATTTGAAGAAGAGGCAATAATGGTTGGGCACTTAAGAATGGGTTGCCGTTGGATGGCTTATTCTGTGAGCTCTTTATGGGGGGGGTGGTTTGCAAGATAGGTCAGCTGATTTGCCATCACTCTATAGAGGAAATGGCCATGTGATGTGCAATCCTTGATCTGTAGCTCTGAAATCTCCAAGTTAACCTTTCAAAAGGAAAAAAAAAAACTGCCCTATTTCAGATCACACTCGGCCCCATCTAGAAGACAAAAGTGCTGAAACGTGTAGCGGAAAGTTAAAGTTCTGATACTGCTGAAGAGGACAGTGGCCAGGAGAATAACAAAAATGTGATGGATTCTCTGCCAATCAAATGGAGGTTGGGCCAACAGAATAGATTCAAAGGATGGTGCTTTCATTTATTTTATTATTATTTTTTGGCTAGGCAATGGGATTAAGTGACTTGTCCAGGGTCACATGGCCAGTAAGTGTTTAAGGCCAGATTTGAACTCGAGTCTTCTTGACTCCAGGCCTAGTGCTCTATCTACTGCACCACCTAGCTACCCTATTCTCCACCTTATTCTGACCGATATGGAGAAAGTGGTCACCCAAGGAAATACAGGGTCCTTGAGAGGAAATGACCATGCCATCTTAGGAGGTTACAGTAAATAGCAACAGGAAAATTATAGGCAGAGCTGGATGCATATTCTAAATTTGGGAATGGTGATTTCTGATTTTAGACATGAATGCAACAGAAGGAATTTGTCCTTGAAGAGCCCTTTCCATTTTGTCTATAAAAGGATCCTGGGAAATGGGGCTCTTTCCCATGCACTTATCGAAACTTCCGCGGTTGCATATCTGTGTCACTTTATCAAAGTTGACCTGTCTGGCTTGTTAAACCCTTACTCAATGCATGCTTGTCAACTTGAAGTAACTATGACCCTTTGAGCTGGAAAAGGAACCTAGAGATCATCTGGTCTACAAAATTTTAACCTGGCATCAGTGAACTTTTAAGAAATATATTTTAATGATTATGTTTCATTCTAATTGGTTTACTTTATCATCCTAGTAATTTTATTTTATGTATTTAAGAAGATGATTCTGAGAAGGGTCCCTAGGTTTTCCCAGACTGCCAAAGGGGTTCTGGACATAAAAAAGTTGAAACTTTCTTTTCTAGTCCTAGTCTCTCTTTTTACAAATGAGGAAACTGAGGCCCAGAATGGGAGTGTAATTTCCTCTAGAACACACAATTAGTAAACAAGCAAGATCTCTACAAGCTGGAAGTATAAAATGAATAAGATCAAGCAGTGTGGTACAACAAAGAGATGGATGGATTTCAATAATGGTGGAAGTAGCAGATGCTCAGAGAGTGGCACCAAGGTGTCCTTGAATGCATTTCAGGATGCTGATCCCAGTTTACTGGCTAAATGGATTGGCTTATGCAAGTCAGGATGAAAACTATATTGCTAGATGGCTGTGCACTCCCACCATACACCAGAATGGAAGAATTGGGGCAACATATCGAAATTGAACATAGCTGGTGACCTCATGAAATAGAGCTGGGGAACATGGTGGGATCCACTCTCACCAGAATGGCAGCTTTCTCTGGAGAAGAGAGGGCCTGTGTTGAATGTCAAGTGCAAGAGAGCCTTCTGCAGAAATGGAACAGCCTCAGGGATGAGTAAGCATTGCAAGAATGTTTACTATTGGAGAGCTGGGTTGGAAGCAATGATCTAGTACAGAGAGTGAGGCTCCTCTCCAACACTTTGAAGGCAAAGACAGGCATCTTTGGACTGTTAATTCAAGGTTTGCTGTGAAGATGCTACAATAAGCATTATAAATGTAGAGCTGCAAAGAACTCAGGTCATCCAGATGAGGAAACTGAGGTCTTGATAGACCAAGTGACTTGCCCAAGGTCATCTACTAATTAGGCCAAAGAAAATATAACTGACCAATGGAGCTTATTTCTAGGTATGTGGACTTTCTTTTGGGTTTCCATCTTTTACTTACTAGCTAAGTAACACTGGTAAGTCATTTAATTTCTCTGAGTCTCTGTTTTCTCAGCTGGAAAACTAGGACAATAACAGATGACTCTTAAAGAATCCAGATCTTAAAGGGCCCTGGATCATCTGCTACAATCTTTTCCCTGGAGAAATGAGGAAACTGAGACTCGAAGAGGGATCCTTCAGATACCAAGCAGTAGAACAAGGAATCAGACTCAAGGCCTGTGCTCTTTCCACTCCACTACCCTGGAACCCCAGTGTGAATGGGCTCACAACTGATCTGGGGCTGTCAGGTAGAGGAAAGCTCTCTGCCAATGGGACAGCCAGATATAAATGCAAAGTGATGTCATTCAATCCAAAAGAATTATGTTGCACCATAATAAAGAACAGAATTAGCTCTAGAAAAAAAAATTAGAACCTGAATGTAATAATAAAACAAATCCAAAATAACGAAGAAGAAACATGTCACTCACCTTCTAACCCAGAGATAGGTGAGGAAAGAAAGATGCAGAATGAAATATGCCTTTTTGGATACAGCTAATGTGGGAATTTTTTTGTAGACTAATTAATTATGCCCTGAGAGTTTTAAAATTTTTTAAAAATTTGCTCGTGTGTGTGTGTGTGTGTGTTGAGAAGGGTATTGGGAGAGACAGATTAATTTCAGAGACGCCTGTTAATTGAAAAAAATAACATAAAAAAACAAAAGTAAGATTGACCTCAAAGATGAGACATGAGTAGACAGCTCCCCTATTTCCTTTGTTATCATAGGGGTGGGGGAGTCTACATATATGGACTACTGCATATTAAACCAGATTATTTTCAATGCATTGATTGGTTTTTACTTATTTTCTCCCCTCTTCTTTCTCTCTCTTTTTTAAAAAAATGTCATAGAGATAGGAATAATAAATATACTCTCTGGGAATAGGGAAATGACCCAGGGGAAAATCTAAATGATGTAAAAACAAAAGATATAAATAAAACAGATACATTTTAAATCATTGCTACCCTCATAGGATCACAGATTTCAAGCTGGAAGGGATCCTAGAGGTTGCATAATTTGACCTCCCCTTTTTAATGGTGAGTAAACTGAGGGCTAGAGAAATGAAAGGTCACACAAGTGGTAAGTAACAGACTCAGGATCAAACCTAGGTTCCCTGATTCCAAATTCAGTGCCCTTTCCATTACGCCATGTTGCTGTTATTTCTTCTCAATAGGAAAGCTATAGGTTCACTGGGCCTGGCATTCTGATTGGTCCTACGGCTGTCCTTGTATTGGAACACAGACATATGACGGTCATAGCAAACTTTGCAAGGTCACTTCCACACCTCACTGCCACGGGTGAAACCAAATTCATTCCATTAATATATTGAGCCCATCCCCTTTAGACTTTTGTCCTCCCTCCCTGACCCTGGCCCAACATGCAGACACATTTTGTGGGGAAATCCACAAAAGTCCCATCCCTCCAAACACATAGCAAATGGCAGGCCATGCAGTTGCTGGGCAGAAGCCAGAAAAGGAGTGATGTGGGAAAGAATACAAGCACTGGGGGAGAAGACACAGTAGGAAGAGCAGAGCCAGAGGAGGAGCAGGGACGGCAAACAGTGGGGAGAGGAGCAGCAGGCAGGCAAAGGGTGAAAGAGAAATAAAGGCCAGATACCTACCCCAACCTGCGCTATCTAGCTACCGACCTCTGGACTTATATTATCACCACTGGGGTCCCCACCACTGGGCTCACCAAATGGATCACTGCTGGATGAGGCCTGAGACCCATCAGGCTAAAATACAAGAACATAACACCTTTTTGTTGTGGTTGTTCTCAATAGAATCAAGTGGAAAGACAGTGTGGATTATTAGCACGCTGTAAATAAAGTTCATTGTTTAGAGAGAGGAGACGAATCCAGGGAAAGAGAGCACAGCCGCGGAGAGTACAGCCTTGTTTCTTTTCAGTTGATAAAGTGCCCAGGATTCACAGGTAATGCCTTTAGGAAAAATAGAAAGAAGGAAGGAAGAAAGTAATGGATGGGGGAGGATAAAGGAAGAAGGGAGGGAGTAAGGAAGGGAAGGACAGAGAGAATTAGGACAAAAGGAAGGAGGGAGGGAGGAAGGAAGGAAAGAAGGAAGGAAGGGAAGAAAGAAAGGAGGGAGGGAAGAATGAAAGAAAGAAGGGATGAGGGAAGAAAGGAAGGAAAAGGAAAGAAAAGAAACCCCCTTTATGGACTTCCCCTTTAAACCTTTTGCCTCTGGATCAGAGAATAAAAATAAACAAATATTGTCCTGGGAAGTCCTCTGTAATTATGCCCCAGACCCAGGATTGGCTTTTTTAAGAAATCTATTTTCACATTTATTTTGCTGGGTGATAAAAGGTCCAAAAAGTCATTACTCACAGCTTCCTGTTCTTCACTTTTGCTGGGGCTTTCAAAGCCCTCTTCAAAGATGTCATCTGTGGTGGGGTCACTGGCGTGGGATGCTGATGATTTTGATGGAGAACTTTGCCTGGGTGCAGGGGTTGGAGCTAGAAGGAATGGACAAAAGAGAGGGATTCAGTTTCACCTGGTTCCATTGTAAAGACATTCGTTGAGAGTCTACCATACAGAGGATGGCTCTGGATGTAGAAGAGGGGAAGGACGTACATACATACTTACATACATACATACATACATACATACATACATACATTCATACATTCATACATACATATGGTTACTGGGGTTAAGTGACTTGTCCAGGATCACACAGCTAGTAAGCTTCTGAGGCCAGATTTGAACTTAGGTCCTCCTCCCTTCAGAGCCAGTGTTCTAATCACTGTACCACCCACCTACGCCAGGAGCGACGTACTGTAAAATGAACATGATGTAAAAATGAAAGATACAAATAAATTTTAAAGAGTTGTGGGCCAAAGGTACCATGTGAGAAACTGGGATGGGAGAGGATGTCAAGTTTAGGTAGGCCATGACCCCTAACTTGGTGGAATTGACAGATTAGCTGGGGAAATAGAATACACAAATATCACTCTAAGATGCTCTAATGTATACTTGGCGCTTTAGGCAGGTACAAATGAAGTATTAACTGACATTCCAGTGATGACGGGTTGTGATTTACAAGGAGGGAATCAGAAAAGTTAAGTCAAATCAATCAGCCTTTATTAAGCACCTACTGTAAGCCAGGTGCTGTGCTAAGGATTTAGGGGAAGAAAAGAAGGTAGAAACAGGCCCGCCTTCATGGAACTCAGTCTAATGGAAAAGATAACATGCAAATAGCTATGTACAAATCAGGTCTAAACTAGATGACCTGGAAATAATCAAAGAAGGAAGGCACTAATATTGCAGAAAATGGGATCTTAGCTGAGACTTGAGGAAGCTGAGGAAGCCAGGAGGCAGAGATGAGGAGAGAGAGAATTCCAGACATGGGGGACAGTAAGATCAGAAGTCTGCAGTCAGAAGACTGGAAGGTAGTGGAGGCAGGGTATGAAGGATTTTAAAAACCAAACAGAGGATTAGGTATTTGATCCCAGAGAAGATAGAAAACCATAGGAGTTTCCTGAATAGGGGAGTAATATGGCTTTTGCTTTAGGAGAGCTGAGTGGAAGGTAGTCTAGAGTAGGGAAAGCCATGAGGCAAAGGAGGCTATGGCAACAGCCCAGGCATGAGGTGATAATGAATTGGATCAGGATAATGGCAGTGTCAGAAGAGAGAAGGGGCATGGACTGGAAACATTACACAGACAGAATCAACAGGACTTAGCAACTGATTGAATACAGAGAGAGAGAGAAAGAGAGAGAGAAAGGGGGGGGGAGAGGGAGAGAGAGAGAGAGAGAGAGAGAGTCGTAAGATGACAACTAAATTGTGAGCCTGGGTGATGGGGAGCATGATGCGACCCTCTCCACTTCCTTTCCTCTTTGTAGTCTGGCTTCCAACATCATCCAAAGTTACTAAGGATCTCTTAATTGCCAAACAACCTTTTCTCAATTCTACTGCTTTTTGACCTCTCTGAAGTCTGACACTGTTGATCATTCATTCTTCTCTGATGCTCTTTCTATTCTAGTTTTTCATGACCTTGCTCTCTCTCTCTCTCTCTCCCTCTTTCCCTCTCCCTCTCCCTCTGCCACTCTCCCTCCTTCTCTCCTCTGTCTCTGTCTGTCTGTCTGTCTGGGCTCTCCTACATATCTGACTGCTCCTTCTTGGTCCTTTGCTGGGTCTCCATCCAGGTCACACTCGCTAGCCATGAATATCCCACAAGTCTCTCTCCTGCATCTTCTACATCTTCTACTCTTATTCCTATGTCCTATATTATCTGGTGATCTCATTAGCCCCCATGGATCAATTATCATCTCTATGCTACTGATTCTCAAATCCACTTATGCATCCCTAAAGTCTCTGCTGACCTTTAAACTCACTGCTCCAACAGCTTATTGGAATTCTTGCATTGGATGTCCCATAGATGTCTCAAACTCAACAGGTCCAAAACTGAACTCATTATCTTTTTCCCTCAAAATCTCCCCCTTCCAAACCTCCCTATTGTTCTTGGGGGCACCACTATCCTCCCAGTCCCCTAGCTCAAAACCTAGGTGTCATCCTTGGCTCCTTATTCGCTTTCACCCTCTACATCCAATCTGTTGCCAAGACCTGTCAGTTGTACATTCATAATATCTCTCAAATACACCCTCCTCTCCCCTCTGACACTACCATCACCCTGTATAGGCCCTTATCAACTTATACTTGGACTATTGCAAAAACCTCCTGGCTGGGCTGCCTGCCACAAATCTATTCCCACACAAGTCCATCCTCCACTCAGGTGTCAAAGTGCCCTTCTTACAGCATGGGTCTAACCACATCAGCCCCCTACTCAATAAACTCCAGCAACTCCCCATTGCCTCCAGGATCAAATACAAAATCCTCTGACATTCAAAGTCATTCAAAACCTACCCATCCCCCACTTTCAAGTCTGCTTATACTCCATACTTCCTTCCTCCCCCATAGCCTGGGACCCAATGGCACAGGCTTCCTTATTGTTCCTCAAACACAATACTCAAGGGAAGGGGAGGGAAAGGAAGGGAAGGGATTGGTGCAGTATAAGTGTGGGGTTGAGAGGAAATATAAGAAGTTCAGTTTTGGGTGTGCTGCATTTAAGATGTCTATGGGATATCTAATTTGAGGTGGTCAATATTCAGTTGGAGATGGGAGATTGAGTTCAGGAGACAGATTAGGGCTGAATAAGTAAAATTAACAGTCATGTATAAAAATGATAATTGAATTCCTGGGAGTTGAGATAACTCAGTGAAATGGTACAGAGAAAGAAGGAGGCCAAGGATGGATCTTTGGGGGACACCAATGGTTAGTGGGCATGACCTGAACATCGAGCAGGGGAGACAGAAAAAAGAGCAGTCACAAAGGTAGGAGGAGAATCAGGACAGAGTAGTGTCACAAAAAGCTAGAAAGAAGAGAACATAAAGAAGAGAGTGATCAATAGTGTCAGAAACTGAAGAGAGGTAAAAAAGGATTAGAATTGAGAAAAGGCCAATAGATTTGGCAACTTAGAGATCACTGACAACTTCAGAGATAGAATTTTCAACTGAATGATGAGATTGGAAACCAGACTGCAGACAGAGAGTTAAGAAGAGAATGAGAAGAAGGAAGTGGAGAGATGGATTGTAAATGGTCTTCTCAAGGCATTTAATGATAAAGGGAAGGAAGGATGCTGGATGGTAGCTAGCAGAGATGGATGAATCACATAACGGTTTTTTGAGGATTGGGGAAATCTGACCATATCTGTAAGCAGGAGGGAAGGAGCGGATAGCCAGGGAGAAAATGAAGATAAGTGAGAGAGAGGAGATAACCGCGGGGGCAATCTGCTGGACAAGATGGGATGGAATGGGATCACTTGTGCATGACGAGGGCTTTGCCTTGGCAGTATGAAGAAGGAGATAGTGGGAAAAGGTATCGGAGTGATATAAAATGAGGAGGAGAGAAAGAAAAGGAGCACTTGTCTGATGGCTATCATTCTTTGCATTGAAACATGAGACAAGGTTCTTAGTTGAAAAGGTGGAGGGAGAAGGAGCCATAGGATGTGTGAGGAGGGACAAAATGGTTTGTTACAGTCATTGTGGGGAATGGAATAGTGAATCAATTAGAGAGTTATAAAAGGATTACCTTGCTGCAGGGAAGGCCCTTTTGAGATTCTGTAATCTAAATTTGAACTGGACTCAGTCAACACAATTTTGTGATTTTCTCCAGTTTTGTGCAGCAGGCTGAGAATAAGAGTGAACTCAAGGGATGATGGCAGTAATCCAGGACAGCTGTCAATAGACTAAGGGGACAAGGGACTCGAGAAAAGAGAACTAGTTCACCAAGAAGTCGAGATGGGAAAGGGAAGAGAGTTTAGCATAGGGGTGATGGCCTGGAAAAGAACTGAGCAATATTAGGCTTTAGGGGCCATGGTAAAGAAGAAGAACTGCATTAGAGGTCACAAGGCAGAAGGAGATATGGAATGGCAATAAATCATGGTCAGATAAAGAAATTTTATGGATATAAAAGTAGAACTCTCGTGAGTAGGCAAGATCAAAAGTATGACCATCTCTATGCATAGCTGTGGTGGGGTGGAATAGGCCATTGGAAAGGAAGAACTAGGAAGTTAAGGTGTTTGAGGTGAGAAGAAACAGAGGCATAAATTATAGACAGGTCTTCTCTAGGATTTTAGCCATGAAAGGAAGGAAAGTTATGGGAGGATAGCTACTGGGCATAGATAGATCAAATAAGTTTTGAGAGATTTGAGCGTATTTATAAGCAGCAGGGAAGGAACAAGTACAATGAGAGAGAATGAAGACAAATGAGATGTGGGGATAATAGAGCAAAATTCTGCTGAAGAAGATAGGACAGAATGGGGAACATCTATGCCTGTTGAGGGGTTTGCCTTGGCAAGGAGAAGGACTGTCTTTTCATGTGACATGGGTAAAGGAGGAGATAGAAGGGGAAAGGCATCTGAGTGATATGAGATCAATATACATGTAGCAGTCAGTCAACAAGCATTTCTTTAGCACCTACTATGTGCCAGGCATTACGCTAAGCACTGAAGATATAAGAAAAGCAAAAAGCTACTCCCTCTCATTGAGCTCACAGTCTAGGGAAGAAGTTGAGAAGAAGACTGTGATCCAGGTTTGCCCTCAAGGTGTAGGCGTCCCAGGGCATCAGGCATTTCCCACAGGAGAAGTCAACTAATTAGAGGAGTTTGTTATCCTGCTGAGATTATATGGACCCCAAGATCTCTCCTAAATCAGAGCTTTGATGAATCTATTACCTGGGCTTTAAAGACAGGGAGGGATTCAACAGGTAAAGAGAAGACAGATGACATTCCTGGCATAGAGAAGTGAATCTGAGCGTTTTTCAGTTGGAAGGGATCTCAGTGATCACAAAGACCAATCCACACATGGGAAAGAATCTCCTCTACACCATATTTGAAAAGTGGTCTTCCAGCCATTGCTTCAAGACCTCCAGAGAAGGGAACTCACTACCTCCTATG